CGGGAGATGTCCGGCGGGTGGATGTGTGTCTCTCCGCCGTGCATATGTGCAGTGGCATGACGAGCGTGTGCCTGAGAAAACGGTAGAGGACGCTGACTGCTGGGTGTAGTATCGCAGATGGAGCGACCGTCGGGGAGCAATGTTTTCTCCGTGTGCACTGGGCGCTTCGTGCAACAGTTTCTGACAACGGATGAATCACAAACGAACGGAGGCGAAAACTGGACCGCGAAGGTGTTAGGTTAATTGTAGCAAGGCGCAAGGTTCTGGTAAAGTGCTGTGACGGAGATGTTCTTGGCTGGCGGACGTGATAGGAGGTGAAAATGGAAATTGATAGACAACGGTCGAGTTGTGGAGGGCCACGTCCGCGTCCGTCATTCAGCTTTAGGTTCGATGAGACTCACCATGTCGATGCCAAGGAATATCGCGTCGCCGCTGCGCCCACGTCGCCAAGAGGCAGTAATCAGCTGCGCGGCGCTTCTTCTGGCCTGTCGTGTGTCCCAATCAAAACCGCCACGGGCCTGTAGCAGCCCTCATATCGGTCTAGGGATGTTGCTGTCGTGTCTTGCTTTTTGGCCACCGGTGAGAATGCCTTGCGTGCTTGCTTGAGGGGACGGCAATGGCAGTGCAAGATGGAGTGCGAGGGTGAGGTGTAAGTGACGGTGCTCGTGTGACGGCGACGGGACACTGGATGGATGTGACGGGGGAGGTTCGCCCTGTGTTCCATTTCCAGCGCGGGAAGCAACAGTAAACGGCGACAGCAAGTATTGCCGGGGTACCTTGCATGCAGAGTTTGTCTGCTGGGATACCCGGCCTCTACTCGGTATCAGTTGCTGAACCAGACGACGTCGGTCGTCATCGTGCCACCATGGGGGCTTCTGATTGGGCGCCAGCTGTTTCTAGCGGGAGCTGTCTCCGGACGGTGCAATGGCGAATCGAGCCCACCTCTGGCGCTGCAGCGAGGTGAGGTGTTCCACCGTCAGGGCTGCTGGGGGCGGAAGGTTGGGGGCCTCCCTGCCTTTTTTGCTCTGCCCTGTCCTGCCTGCCTGCAGCCTGACAGCACCTTACCTCACCTCGAAACAGTGGAACACGGCACTGACCAGCAGTCACGCTAGGTGGCCGACTGAAGCGTGCTGATGTTCGCTAAACCACCGCGATGCGCAACCGTAACCGCTACGGTCTGAAGTCTAGGCCCCTGCTTTTTCCACTCGACCCATCCACCTCGTCCAGAAAGACGTCTCCGTGGAGGTGTTTCCTGTGGGCTGTACAGTGACGCATCGCTGTGAGTTGTCGCTAGAGTGGTTCTCGGAGCCGCCAACATCCCTGGAGCTGGTCCGTCCAGTGCGCTACCTACCTGCCCTACCTGCCTTGCTGGCTGTGTGTGTGTGTCCAACCCAGCCCGTCTGTCCTTGCGCGACCGGATTAGCTCCCTCGTCTTTTTTTCTTTATCAATCTACCCACCTCCTCCATATCATCGTGCCTCCCTCCGTCTGTGGCTGGCTCTCGGTCGTTCTCGTCCCTCCCTCCTGCTTCTTCCTATCTTGCCCATCCGCCGCGTGCTTTACCAACCAATACATTCTCCTCCCTCCCACACCTCATCCTGCCGTCGAGGTCCTCTTATCGAACCCATCTCCGATTCTCCCCCGTTGCCGAATATTACTTTCCTAATGTCTCTGTCCGCCAGAGAATGAAAGCATCGTCGCAAACTTGTGGAAAAGGCCGAACTCTACTCTGGAGGCCCGATTCCTACCACCGATAATCCGAGAACCCCTCTCCGAACCGAACGAGAACTCTTACTGCGAAGCTTCGCTCTCACACTCATATCCAATTGCAATCGCGATACCCCAAACTCTGCCAGGCGCATCGTCCCATCGCCTGCCCTCCCGAAACCACACACAACATCTGCTTGCCAGCTTAGACTTCGCCTAGCTTGGCGATAGAGGCCCACGCGCACCGTGCCAAGCCTCCATTCAAGGAGCCTAAGAGCACCTCTACATCGCCGAGGGCCGTTCTCCTTGCAACGACGACCTTGCGCCGGTCCTCCGGTCCGCCGTCCTTTTCTATCGACGTCCCCCGTTGCCGCTACAAACGTCCAATCCATTCATCGTCCGCTACCGACCTCCAGTCGCCATGGACCAACAATACCTGACGTCTCCGGCGTCGTATCGGCTAGCCAGCATGGCTCAGAACGTATACGAGATGCCTCTCCTTGCCCTTGAGAAGGCGCACGATTCTCACCCGTCCCTGGGCCACCTGGTCCTTCTCGTCTTCGAGGCCGTTCTCGAGGTCGTGTGTGTAAGCTTGCCGGGCTATGTTATTGCCCGGCTTGGCCACTTTGATGCCGAGAAGCAGAAGTTCTTGGCCAACCTCAATGTCATGCTCTTCACGCCTTGTCTTAGTATGTATCTCCTGCACATATTGGCGCCTGTTTTACCCATACTGACAAGTCGCAGTCTTCACCAAGCTAGCATCGCAACTTAACGCCGACAAGCTGCTCGACCTTGCCGTCATTCCCATTATTTTCGTCATCCAAACCATGGTCTCATGGCTCGTGGCTACTGTCGTCGCCCGTCTGTTCGGCTTCAACCGCCGCGCCTCAAACTTCGTCACGGCCATGGGAGTCTTCGGCAACTCCAACTCATTGCCCATCTCCCTGGTCCTGTCCCTTTCCCAGACGATCAAGGGATTGCATTGGGACAAGATTCCCGGAGACAATGATGATGAGGTTGGCGCACGTGGTATTCTGTACCTGTTGATCTTCCAGCAGCTTGGCCAGCTGGTCCGCTGGAGTTGGGGCTACCACGTTCTGCTCGCTCCGAAGGATAAGTACCCCGAGTACCAAGACGAGCGGGTCGAGGAGGGACAGTATGACGGAGACAGAGAGACTGCGCCCCTTCTGAACGAGTATGAACAAGACGACGCAGCCACCTCTCGCAGTCCCTCCAGTAGCGACCTGTCCAACTACGAGCCCGCCGGTCGCACTCCAGTGGCTAGCAGATCGAGAGCTTCCCCCGCCGATACCGAGGATGAGGACGACGAATACCTCCCCAGTAAGCCTATGAAGACTAACGGCTTGGCACCTCTGAACGGCAACCATCCCGTTTTCAATGTAAGCCACGATGAGATATCGTCTTTCCCTCGCATTCGTAACACGGATACACCCGACATTCCCGAGGGCGTTAAGGGCTACCCTACCCGCGCTAAAAATGCTATGAACAACGCCATCGTTAGGAGCAAGAAGTCTACGGCTAGCTTCTTCGCGAGACTTTTCAACAGCCTCCCCGAGCCCATCAAGGTCATTTTGGTCGCCCTTAACCGATTCTCCGGAAAGTTTTACAACTTCATGTGGGAATTCATGAACCCGCCGCTATGGGCCATGCTTTGCGCTGTTGTGGTTGCCTCCGTCCCCGCGCTGCAGAAGATCTTCTTCGAGGAGGGATCATTCATCAAGAACAGCTTCACCGACGCCGTTCAGTCGAGCGGTGGTGTTGCCGTCCCCTTGATTCTCGTGGTTCTTGGAGCTAACCTCGCCCGCAACACCCAGAAGAGTGAGAAGCTCAGGGATCCCGAGGAAGACCAGATCGGCACTAAGCTTTTGGTTGCGTCGCTCATGTGCCGAATGCTCCTGCCAACTCTCATCATGACCCCCATCTTGGCCATCTTTGCCAAGTATGTTCCCGTCAGCATCTTGGACGACCCGATCTTCGTCATCGTCTGCTTCCTGTTGACCGGAGCGCCGAGTGCTCTGCAACTAGCACAGATTTGCCAGATCAACGAGGTTTACGAGGGTGTGATGTCTCGTATCCTGTTCCAGAGCTATGTTATCTGGTATGTTTGCTCCCTCAACTTGAACCCTCCAACAGAACTAACAGATTTTTCAGGATCCTTCCGTCAACCTTGGTGCTTGTCATGTGCGCCTTGGAGGTGGTTGAATGGGCTGCTTAACAAATGACAAGCAAGCTCCATAGCATTTCTTTTGTCATGTACGGAATAGTCGCGATTAATACCTATTGCGTGATCTTGCGGAGGAAGCATCAGCGGCGTTCGGGATCTCCTCGAGGCACAGTCGGTTTGACAGGGCCAGGGGCAAAAGTACACATAAATTGGCCCTGGGCCATGTATTACTAGTAGCACAAGCGGTTTGGAACCAGACATTTGTTGGAGTGGTCGACAACGTACAAACAAAGATGCACCAACTTGGAGTCGACAATCATGGGCGGTATGCCAATGGAAGCATACATCCATACGTCTGTAATAATATGACAAAATTGGATCCATTATGGAGTACATTGCAACGTGTTGAACGACTGTTTTATCTTTCTTTGGATATCTCGTTCACTAGGAGGTACGGAGATAAGGCCGCCAATATCGTATCGGCCATGATGTTTGACTACCTCGCGAAGAACATGGGGCAAAAGGAAATCAGAATGACAGCAACACCTGTGGTGTTGACAAGTCGCATAAAGCTCAGCTTAAGTGGACAACCTCTAGTATCAAACCATCGTGATCCTTTACATTACAGTGGAGCATCGCTGGTTTGTAGGTAGTTTGGGTTTCGACGGGATGAATTAGTTCATTATCACTCCCTGACGAAGACGAGTGTCCATGAGGTAAGGTGGCCGACAATATTAGTGAGGATCATGCCAGCTCGAACAGCAGAGTTCAATGGTACTCGCCCTTCATGCCCAACGTTTCAGGAATGTGCGAATCATTCGGATACGCCTTCCTAACTCAGGTTTCACACGTGCTGTTTGACCATGCAGGTACGGTTGGCAGACTTGTATTGATGGACAGGCAACGGCAGCGTGGCTCACCGAGACTTACCTGTCGCGGTGGTGCTTGCAGTTTCGGTGAGCATCAGCGCTCGTCACGTGGCGCGCTCAGACCGCGAATGTGGGACCGTCGCGCTGCCTTGGACAGCGGCAGCACCTTACCAAACTGTCTTCTCTTTCGAGCAACGACGGTAAAACTTCTACGTCACCCAACCATCGCAGCTCGTCAAAATGGCTTCGAGATCGAGATCCAGATCGCCTGGCGACCGCTATCGCTCCCGAACCCGATCGCCGACCCCGCGTTCCGACAGAGGTCGCTCTGCCTCGCGCTCGCCAGTTCGCCGCCGGGACTACGATTCGCGTTCGCCGTCGCGTTCCCAGTCGCCAGCCCCGCGACGCAACGGCAGATACCGCAGCGAAAGTCGCAGCCAGAGCCCTGTTGTCAGAAGCACCAAGGTATGGCTCAATTGCACTGTCTGCTCGAGAAAATTCAAAACTAATCGGACGTCTTGCATTAGATTGTCGTCGAGCGCTTGACCAAGAACATCAACGAGGGACATCTTGAGGAGATCTTCAGCCAATTTGGTCCTATCAAAGACCTTGATCTGCCTATCAATAGAACATGTAGGTGACCCCAAGGCATCGAACACGACAGCCCCCAAATCCCAAAACATGGTCCCTTCCCAGGCTAACACTTCATTCCTCCAGACGGCACCAACAGAGGCACTGCCTATATTCTCTACGACCACGAGGCCGACGCTGAGGAGGCTATTGCTCACATGCACGAGGCTCAGATTGATGGCGCCGTTATCAACGTATCCATAGTCCTGCCCCGGCGCAAGCTCTCCCCGCCGCCTCCCATGGCTCGTCGCGGTGCAGGCTACGACCCCAGGCTTCCAGCTCCCGCTGGTCGAGGCAGCGGCAGGCAGTCGGGCGCACCTCATGCCGGGGCCTCGGGTCCCGGATCCTTTGGCCAGAACGGACCCCGTCGCGGTGCTTCGCCTCCACCGAATCGTCGGGGGCCTAGATCCGATACCTACCGCCCGCGATCCGTCTCTCGCTCCCCCTCGCGATCTCCTGCGGGTGCACCTCCATCACGTGGTGGAGGCAGCAGGTACAGAAGCCGTTCGAGATCTTACTCACGATCTCGCTCGCCAGCCCCGAGACGCGGCGCAGGTGCGCGCGGAAATGAGTACCGCAGAAGGAGCCCGAGTCGAGACAGCTACGACAGTTACGAAAGCCGTCGGACTCGTTCCTCCAGCCGTAGCCGTGACCGTGGCCCTCGAACCGGTGCTGGTGGAAGTCGTGGCGGTGGCGGCTTCCGGGGCTATCGATGAATTCACCAGGGACGATGGAAATGGAGATACTCAGCATGTTATGGGCGGCAGATTATTTGTGAATGACCTTTCACGGCGTTGGGGGTAATGGAAAAGTCGATCGGGCATCGAAAACGCGGCGGGCTTGGGCACACAAGTTGACCCGTAAGACCTGATCGTCCGCATGCATTCTAAGCTAATAATACCCAGAGCAAATGTCTAGAATGCCGCATTTCTCATTGTCCACCATACCGATTCGTGAAACGATTTGCAGGGCCCGAAGTCTGCCTCGCCCCTGAAGGCCCTAGATTCACGCAGCGCGTAGTGCGTGACGCATCCTGGCTTTAGTCGGACCGGTGGGCCGTGTTGATCTGGTGATAGAAGCGTATGTGCGGCGTTGATGACACTAACTTTGACAGGCTTGATTTTGCAGAGGCTGGATAGTGATGGAGCGAGATTAAGACCACAGTATTTTTGCTTCAGCCGCTCTCGACATCCTGATTGGACAAACCTGCGACGAATGAGACATGATCGGCTCCAGACCCTTCACTTTTATTTCGGTGCCTTCACCACGCCGCATTCCTCCAGCAAGCAGGCCTGCGATGAGTGCAGTATTTTGTGGAGCCATTCGCTTGCTGTTCGCAGCATTCTGCTGGGCAGCTTGATGCTGCCGACCAAGTCTGGAAGCTTCTCGAGTCCGAAGAAAGACACATCTTGGATCCTTCGTCGGCGACAGCGATAGGTTTCCTGCTGGGCGGAGAGGCGGGTTGCCTTTCATTCAGCATCAGGTGAGCTTACACCGGTGACAGCATCAACAATTCGCCCGACTTACATTCTGATCTTGTAGAGCGACTGGCTTTCCGGTCCTACAACTGCACAGAGCGGTGGGGAGTTACCTGAATGCTTGCGGCACCTCCCGTTGAGTAAGCATGCGGTTCTTTTGTCATCTAGAGTCGAATATCACGAACGAGTCCCAGGCAGCAGCCAGCAGGCAACGCGGTCTGTTTGTCAGGGCGTTATGTCATTGCTTACGCCGGCATGGGAGGCACACACCGGCTTGTTCCCGGCACCATGGCCGTGGCTCTTGCGAATGATCACTTTGCTTCGGCGGAGCTCGAGTACCGCGGCTGCCGGTGCAGTCGCTAATGGTCTCTGTCCGTTACACAAGCACCAAAAGCCTGGTTTCGGGCATGCTGACGACTCATCAGTTCGCGGGCTCTCATTCGATACCAAAGAGACCCGCGTAATATGTCAATTACCAAGGCATCCGAAAGGACCAATAGCAGGCTGATCAAGCTGACCAGTCTGCTGGAATGAGGGGCAGCCACACCTCACTCGACACAGCCAAACTGACACCATCCTTCAGCCCGATCACCCACACCAAGGAACTCTGTCCCGCATGAAATGCTTGGCTGGGACGCCTCGCAGGGCAGAAGAGGCGAAATACATCGCGGAAAACCGACAGCCGGGTTAAGCTGACACCGCACCGGCTGTTGGTCGACCCTTGTCTTGCGATTGACTATGGTGCTGCCACCGTCGCGACAGACCGTTTGTAAATGCTCAGCAACGAAAGACCTCGAATATGCAGCAGGGGGTTTAAGCCCGGGGCGGCCGACTTTTTCTCCGGATTTGACAGTCGATGTTCGTGTCTCGGGCAAAGAGGTGCTTTCTGAGTCAACAAACTTGGTTTCGAAAGTCTGACGGCATGTTTTCTGCGCACCAACCTACACTTCGACAGATGTCAGGTCAAGTCTTGCGGCACAGATGGAGGAACTCCGCTGTTCTGAGGCTGTAGTCCAGAATGCCTTGCGATCCTGACCCTCCCCCCGGTCGAATCCCCCACATTGCCAAGGCAAGAAAGCTGAGCTGAACTGAACTGAACAGCGTCCGCACAACAGAAAACACAACGACACAGATAGGCCGTCTCATAGCTGATAGACTGGGTTTGATGTTTACCTGAAACGCGAGCACCGCAAACGCAGATTGCTCGTTCGGAATTTGATCCAGCACTTCCCAAGGCGCGTTGTGCGACGTCGTTCAACATGCTCCAAACCCCTCGAATCCTTCAGCCCTATGGCCTTGCGACACCCGCGTGTGTTGCCCCGGATGAGTAGGCGGGAGAGCGTGGGATATGAGTGTGTGTGAGCGATGCGAATCCGCCCCTTCGGCTCGACGCTAAGCCGCAATGTGCAAACACTGCGTTGTTCGGGGTTGATTCTTGCTGACGCCTTGGGGACTTTCTGGGTCTCTCCCCATTCGACCCTCGCTACCGTCATTTGGTTCTTGCGTAAGCAGGGGCATGTCCACGTTCCTAATTTACCCCTTCCTGGATTTGAAAGCACTTCTCTAACTCCAGATTGGTCAAAAAGCATCGAGCTATCCAAATACTAGCTCAGGCTGAGCACCAGTCCCTCGTTTGTCGCTCACAAGCCTTCCTTTTGGGGGCCATCTCCCGACTGCTGGACACCCTCCCAGCCGTCCCCCTAATGTACGTGTCCTGACCGAGCCATTCGGCCGGACCCGAAAACGCTCACGATTCGCAAAAGTCGACGGACTTGGACACTCACATGACGGACCATCTCGGCGGGACTCTTACCACCCTTTCGGCATGACGCGGGATGGCAGTGTCTTCGACAAGATGATGTTCAAGTAGAGCTTCATCATCATGTTCGCCTCCCATGCAATGACCCAATCGACAAGTGTTGATTTGGAAGGACACGGCGGTGACATCGATGCTGGAAGAGAAGCTTCGTGCAGTTGATTGGTTACACGATATCGGCTTTCAACGAGGCATACACCCATCCTTTTCCCGGTGCTGTTTGCAACCCACACGTCCGACTCGCGGGTCCCGGTACCTTGAGACGACATGTGTCTTCTCTTAGGCACGTCTCATCTCACACCCACCTTCTTTCCCAGGAGAAGTTTCCAAGAAAAGGCTGTCCATCTGTTTCCATGTTTGCCTAGATTTCCTGTTCCGCGGGGAGACGTGCATCCCGCGAACCTATCCGCCCGTTCGGAAGCCTGCTCAGAAGTCTGATTGGCCATTCCCAACTCTTGGGAGGCTGGCGCATGTCCTAATTTACTCTGGGAAGACATGACCCCTGCCTTTCAGGCACACCCCCGTCACGCGGTCTTGGGCGGAAGACGGTTACACAGGCAGTAATCTAGCCTTCGTGCAAGTTACCGTTGAGGTCTTGAAGGAGGTGCCGTGGCTCTGTGACATGGTGGCATCGTTGCTTGCCTACCAGCATGCTTGGGCTGTTCTGCGTACTGTTCTGCGAACTGTGTCTTTGTTTGTCTATAGTCGTGGCAGAGCCTCGTATAAGATGCCTTTCGGGGTATATATGAGCCCTCTCTCAGCTGGTCTCAAATGTCTCAGATGGCAGGATTCTATCAGCTCACACATTAAACATCAACGGCTAGCTTCCTCAAGTAGCTGCTTCAAAATTCCCGTATTCGTCCTCTCCGTCATTCAAACTACACCCTCAAGTCTCACAGGCTTCCAGTTCGGACAAAATCCAAGCGCCGCCACTGGAGGGATTTCCCGAGACAATCCTCAACAGAAGTTGTCCAGACAACTTTGACTTCAAGTCTGCGTTCAACATGTTCAACATGGTCAATATGTATGGCGATCCGCCTCCGTCCCCACCAGGTGGTCCCAGGGGTGGTCCGCGTCCCCAACCGCCGGGGCCGATTACACCTCCGAACAGTCCTTGATGATGAGGACGTATGTTCTTTTCGGCCGGCCATCTCGAACGTAAGGATGACCCCAGGGGCGTTTTCGGCGGTTCTTGGCCAGGCGCTTCAACCAGAAAACACGCCGAAGTCGCCGATGCGGTATCACTTCACGTCGACTTGGGGCCACGAAGCCTCGCTATTTTTCCTAATGCAACCACGGACTCGAGCTCCGTCTCTACACCAGCGACAGAATGATGGGCAAAGAGGTTGTGATGAGCCGACGACAGCATTTTCTCATCCTTTGTCTTGGTCCCCTTGCATGTTTTCCTTTCTCATGTCTTTCAGCAGTTACGATACACCGCCTGGTACCAGTCCGTACGCATTCATTCTAGATTACATCTCTGCGAGGAGAGCTACATATGTTTCACGGCCTAAACTAGCATAGCATGCATTCTGTCTTTCACCTTTTTGCTATTTCCTTGCAAGTGTCAGTATTTCATCAAGATAGCCATAGATCTCAATACATCGAAGCGCACACGACTGCATTACACTCACACACATCCTTCTCCTTTGAGATGTCACGGACACAATGATTGGGTGAAACACCCCCTTTCGCAGGGCGACTTAATCGGGCAATGATGACTTACTCCGTATTGCTTGGATTTGGTGTAACTGCAGCGGCATCGATCTGCATCGCCGCGCGGGCATGGATTTGGCCAAGACTGAGGTCAGCTTACAGGTCTTGGGCGGGTTCTCCCTAGGGGTAAATCAGCGCCCCGCGCGGGCGAAGCCACGATGGCATTCCCAGCCACGCTTTAGCCATGCAGGTTCTGCTTGGACACCGCCGGTGTGATGTATTCTAGAGACTGTAAACGGGGAGAGTGGGGGTATTATTTGGCGGTTGGCATGTTTCACCGAATGGGCGGCGCCGCTGCCCCCCTGTTCTAGAATAGGTACACAAAAGAGGACCTCGACTTTTCTTGCCCGATCTGGCAGTAAGCTCGCACGCCTGGCTTTGTTAATTTAACGGCGGCTACGAAGCCTCATGGGGGCCAGATGGCGATGATGGCTCAAGGATGGGGGTAAATGGGAACCTAGAGCGGGCGGCACGGGGTCTTGGCCCTTCTACGCACGCCCGGTTCATGACCTCCGCTCGGATCCGTCTTGGCTCGGCCCTCGTTTTCGTCACTTCTGCCCAACCACACGTCAGCTGTTTCTCTGTCGTCCTCTTAAACTTTTGTTGAGTCCTGAAAGAGATTCATCGAGCGCAGTTTCTTAGGCTCCATCGGCAAGGTGAGACCGTGGTGAGCCGCGACACGACGCGGTCATGCAAAAAGGTAAGTACCAATGGAATTAACTGACAACGAAGCGTTGGACTTGGAGGACTACGTATTGGAAGACTACGTACCTATGATCATGAGAATTTTCAGGTAGGCTACAGGTTCTAGGGAGTCTCTGACAGCAGTAGAAGACCGTTTAGCATGATGGAACACATTCAGCCTTCGATCTTATGGATCTCGAAGGGTCAAGGCCTTTGGACGAAGCCTCCGAGGTTGAGATGAAGGCCAAAGCAAAATCCGGGCGCGAACGAGCGATGGCCGATACTTATGGCCCTGTAGAAAGTCATCTCACAATTCTTTACTTCAACAACATCATCATATTCTGGTATCATCGAGGAGAAAATGCGTGAAGGTCCTGGAATCACAGACAACAAACGATACGCTGAGCACTCTGACCTCGACGCAGCTTTCGAACCATGCCACTCTTACAGTGAGCTTCAGGCCGAAGGCAGCCAATACTGGTTCGTACAAGACGGAGGTAAGTAAGGTGACATCCTCGTGTCGTCTGTGGCGACGAGTCCTCACAAGCATCCAGATTCAGTGTATTTCGAGTCGTTCTTTCCGCAGCTAGACGCGAGCGATCTGCGCGACCAGAACATCAAGTCTCTATCGATATACGAGGACGTCACCCCGACATCCCAAAGACCGTGGTCACAGCACTCACGCCGCCATCCAAGGAGGGTCGTCGGCGAATCGCTGGGACCGATAAGTCTCTTCCTCGAGAAGCTGTCCGCGTCGTACATCATCGAGGCGAACGACTTTTTCCGCAAGACGCAGTCCGACTGGGTCTGGGAGAACCTCACGTCCTTGACCCTGACATCCGAGCTGCTGGCCGAGGACGCCTGCCATCTCAGGGCCACAAACATGCTCGCCAACGCCGCCGGCGCCGCGCTCCAGATGCCCAGGCTGCAGAGGATGGAGATCTGGTACGGCGGGTTCCGCACGGCGGCCCTGTTCCGCTACGCCGTCTCAGAGTCCGGCACGTCAATTCGGTGGCACGGGACGTGGGAGCTGCAGCTCCAGCGGCGGCTTGTCGACGCTTGGAGGGCGGTGGCAGCGTTGCACACGGCAAATGGGCTTGTTGTGCGTGAGAGTCGTTTGCTTGACGGAAACGGCATTGCCTCGCGTGAGGGGGCTATTCAGGTGCTTGACCTGAGTGAGAATGTGGTTCATCCGGCATCTTCTGGGGACATCGGCAAAGGAACGGGGAAGTATACCAAACCTGGTCAATCTATCTCGACAAAACATGAAGATATTATGAGTTGGATCCAGGCTTCGGGGATAGAGAGCTTGCAATAATAGGGGTTGTGCACGATTAGCTGTTCATGGCAAGATGAGCTGCAAGGGGTATCATTGACACGTATGGGTTTATAGATGAATCAATTAATTGGACTACTGCTGCATTTGTTCTTTGAGTTCATATGAGTGACTGACATCTATTTACCCAACAGACTCCTTGCAGCATGGAACAGACTCCAGCAGGGTCATCAGAGCAATCTTGACTCTGACTGATGATCTTTCCAGAGATCGTCCTAGGGACAAAAGACCATCGCCAAGCTTACGTTGCCCAAGCCTTCCCAAATCAAGCGATATTCTCGTATCCAGTTTTGTGTGTTCCTCTACATTGCTGTGGCGTGGTCCGACAGTTCGGATCCGATCATATGGCCTCAAGGCCTCGGCATTGGGATCGTCCCACATGGCATTTGAGTTGGGGCCCCCTTCGTTCAGATCGAGAACTCGCGATTGCCCCGCATCGAGCACTTTTAAGACCAGGGCTAACTTACCGATCGTTGAATTGGACCTATCACGGATGTGGAAAGTCGCTTGCTTGTTCTCCCGCAGCATGGCTTAGTCTGCTGATCTCCTATTCTAAGGCCCGGCCTAGTCCGCGGGCCCGGTCCGAACGTTTCCACCCCGCGATAGCGGGGCTCTTCCGAGCATCACTTTAATTTATCGTGACCTATGCGGATCAACCCTCACGCAATCCACGCGGACACCGACTGCTGATTATCAATCAGCTCAGTTGATATCGCGAACGTCGTCGTCATGAGTGAAAAATCAGATGGTATTATGTTTATCCAAAGAGGCTGGGAGATCTGTTGTGGATGTATATAAGTGACAGCTTGGCAGTCATCAGCTGCTTTTAGAACAGCACAGATCAGATATACCCTCTCTTCAATCTCTTCCGTCTCACACTCTTTGATCATTCCACGGTCGTTACCATGAGAATCTCTCGCCTCTCCCTGGCCACCTTGGCTTCGTCGAGCTCCCTGGCGACAGCCCTGGCCGACGGACTCACCATCGCCCTCACCCTCGACCGAGCAACCCAGGGCATCTGCATCTCCTCCGACGGACGCAAGTTCTTGACGCAAAGATATTCCACCACGGATGCTCCTCAAGCCGTCGAGCTTCTCAGCAATGGCACAACCGTTCTTTACCCCGATTCCACGTGGAACTCATGGACGTCCAACTCGACTTTGGATCCCAAGAAGGCCTTCGTCAGCATTGACGGTGCCCGGATCGGGCCCGACGGACGATTCTGGGTCGTTGACGGAGGCACTACCGACAGCGATGGCAAGCTTGTCAGCGGATCTAGCAAGCTTGCTGGCGTGAACCTCACCACCAACGCCGTCGACAAGGTCTACTACCTGGACAATCTCACCGAGACTGGCAGCGTCATCGATGACGTTCGTTTCAACGGGAATGTTGCGTACCTCAGCGACACAGCTGGCGCACTCGTTGTCATGGATCTTACGACTGGCGAAGGCAAGCGCGTTCTTGTGGGCCATAGCTCTGCCGTGGCATGGTTCCCAATGGCCTACAATGGTAGTCTCGTTCCAGGATACCAGGGGGGCGACAGCACGCTCTCCGTGGGTCTTGACCAGATCGAAGTGTCCCCCGATGGTGTCTATCTCTACTATCAACCTTGCAACGGAGGCATGTACCGCATCGAGACGCAGTACGTCGACGGCGCCTTGACGAACAGCACTCTCGCGGAGAACCTGGGAGACTACGCGGTCCCTTTCGCGCTCACGCCTAGTACTGGAGGTACGACTATTGATGGGGACGGCAACATCTACGTGAGCGACACCAACCTGCTTGCTATATGGAAGGTCAAGCCCGATGGGTCGTCTTCGATTCTAGTTCAGGATGATGCCTTGGTCTGGACCGATCTGATGTGGGTTGACGCGGACAAGAACCTGTGGCTGCCGGCTTCCCAGATGAGGCCGGGTGCAAATGGGCTGATGGCGGATGGACCAAACTACATCTTCACTTACCCGATTGATGCTGGCCCGTCACCGATTGACCACGCATAAACATGAAGTGTCTTTCGAAGACAACAAGATTCGAATGCATGTAAATACATATGTACATAGCAATTGCATACGACACACAGTTCATACAAGTTCAATGACGAGAGCCTATCTAAGCTCAAAGCGAGCTTTGCCCAGCAACATCATGATTCTCTTGACGAAGTCATCGAAACGTTGAGTTGACAAGATCTGATGAACGTGTTCAAAGACTACTGTTCGGACGGCCGGCGGCGGCGGCATGACCGGACTCGGCCCGAGCATCGGCGGAGCGGGGCCAGCGCCGGGAGGGTGCCCCGGCCCAACCCGCCACTAATCTTGCGGAATGCTTTAAGGTTATCGCAACCCGCAACTGATTTTAAGCTCGATTCTCCCAGGAATTTTGAAATAACCTTAACAGGCGCCACGCGGGAACTCTGCTTTTCATTCCTCACCAGCAGCCACGAACACACGCTTGCCATCTTCAGATGATCCCTTGAGACATCCCTCGATTGATAGTGCCGGTTCGAGCACCGTCCTGGCGCGATGCCGGGTTTGCACCAAGAGGCTCTGTAATCGGGAGCGGGCCGAAACCCCTTTCCGAACCAGCCTTCTCATTTCCTAGTCATCTCATTGCATTATGGCATCTTCGGCCTACGCATCTACGGCGGGTAAGCAGCAGTTATCGTTGGCACGTCAATGATATCGTTGAGAGATTGTGAAGTCGTACCCAGCTGACATTTGCGCTGCTGGCCCTGCCATTCAGTGGGACGTGGCATGATCCCTGCAAGGCTGGGCAGGGGATGTTCGGGCGCGCTGAGGGGCCTGGAATGCAGCTCGTGTCCCCAAAAACCGACCTTGAGGATTCGCCTGGGCTTGCTGGGTGCTTCTGTAGCGGCCGCTCATGTCGAAACCTCCCAATCTCGTTGGTTGTTGCTTCCTGCGGCTCATGCAGCACACCTCGTGTCGGACGACCAGACCTTGGTTGGCTTGCGCTAGCTTCCTTGTCAATCTCGGTCTTTTGGATACGGTACTTGGTCGGGCATTGTCTTGCAATTCTTATGGCCAGGAATCCCGTATCACTTCGGTGAAAGGATTGTTGGGTCTACTGGGGCTCTTTGCGCGTCCGAAGTTCGTAACAGACGCACATACAGAATGCAGCACGATAAGCTGTTCGGATTCCAACCTCATGGCGTTTTGTGTGTCTAACACTTCATCTCGATTTAATTCGAGGCTGAGGCTTGGCGACTACCGAGACACCGCGAGCCCGAAAGTCACGAGGGCTGGCTGCACCAGAATTAGGTTTCTGTGTGTCTTGAACCGTGTGGAAGGGAGAGACACCCAAGCCCAACTTTCTTTCCCGTCCCCAGCTTCATCTACAGCCCCAAAGCCATCAGGAGCATACTTCCCGATCCAAACACACGTTTTCCCCAACCACTGGTGACATTCGTTTCAGAGAGGGGTTGGAATTGTGGTATATCAGCGTGGTGATTTGTGATCGCCTCAAAGCATGCGAAAGCGGTAGATACCCACTTGGCGACACTTGCTTCTTCCTGTCTTGTCACTTTGCCATGCATGGCAACCTAGCACGACATGGATGTCTCTCTTGCCCCTGTGTGATAGGCTGGGCGGCGCCCATGTCCATGTTGCCGGCTTCCGTCCGCTATCTTGAGCGATACCAAGTCGAGTGTGTTGTGCCTTGCTGACGGCAAGGGAGGGTGCCGCCTGTGGTTCGGCAGATTGTTGGTTGTTGATGCCAGCGGCAAGCAGATCTTGGTCAGACTCTGTGCCGGTGTGCCTGATTTCGGGCAGGATGCCTCTCTCTGGCCTCATTATTTCCGATCATCCTAGTGGAAGGATGTCCTCCATGTGAGATGATGAGATAGATGCTCAAAAGGATGAAGAATCAATCCCCGGATCCCGTGCTGACTGCCAAATGCAGCCTTTATTGGGACATGTATCACGATCGTACGGCTGTCGAGACACCAATTTCACTGCCGCCCTAGAATCACCCAACTTCGATACCTAGGGAGCTCCCACACCTTGTGGCTGTAGTCTGCATCAACACAGCAGCTTTTGGCGGTGTCACCTTACCCCAGCCCGATGCAGAAGATCCTTCCCAGGGACCCAGGGGCCAGCTAGCTGCTCCTGCAGGGTGCATGGCGGGCAGTCGCCGTTGGTCGACTCTTTAAGGGGCCGTTCCTTCTCTCACGACCTCATCTGTGATTCATTCCGATACTGCTGTTGACAGTTGCCATTATCATTGCTGGTGTCGTTGTTGATGCTGCTGCTGTGTTGTTGGCTCAGATTTGGGTGTCGCTGATACACCATCCACTTTCAAATTTCGGTGACTATCCGACAATACCTTATTGGGGGAAGAAACATCCAGACAGCGAGACAGAGATCAGTCAGAGGGGCGAGTAGACGGCACTGTCATCCCAAGCATCAGAAACACCGATCTACAGACAGCGACAAGCAACATCATTCTTCGCCCGGCTCTCAGGTATTCTTTGAGATCAATTGGTCTTCATTCATACGCGTATACCCATTCATTATGGTTGCTTCTGTTGTCCCGCTTGGGGTCTTTGGCCTCGTAGCCATCCTCATGAATACAGTCACAGCCCAGAAAGAGGATCTGGGGACCGTTTTACAGTCCAACAATCTCACGACATATTACAATCTGATCAAGGCATGCCGGAAATGATACAACTGAGCTAGGGATGACTGCTGACCACCCACAGAAATATCCCGAAGTGCTGTTCAAGCTTCCAAATTATCAAGGCGTCACTGTAAGTCTCTTCCACATATATCACTATTCCAAGCTAACATTGACTAGATTGTTGCGCCTTCCAACGCGGCGTTTGAGAACATCCCGGGAACCCAGCTCAACGCAATCTGGAACGAGTCGGATCCTTCCATAGCCGTTCCTATCCTAGAGTACCACATTCTACAGGGCACTGTGTCTACTGACGCTCTTGTCTCCGGCCCATCAGTCCTGCGCTCCTCTCTCCTCCAAGATTCAGCTTGGACAAATGTCACCGGCGGTCAGAACGTCCTTGTCAACAAGCAGCCTGGCGATGTTATCGTCTTTACGTCCTCTGAAGGTATCCGCACAACCCAGGTAGAGGGCGACATCAAGTTTGCCGGCGGTCTTGTTCAGGTCGTGGACAACCTCCTAATCCCTCCTGCAAGACTGGAGAACACCACGGAGAGCTTCAAGCTGCCCGCGTTCCTCGGCGCTTTGTACGCCGCCAAGCTCATTCCCGCCATATCGAATGAGAAGAACGTCACCATCTTCGCCCCACGCAACGAGGCATTCCAGCGCATCGCCGGCTCCGTCAAGAATATGGACAGCAACGCCGTCAAGAAGTTTCTCAACTACCACGTCGTTCCCGGAAGAGTTCTGGCGTCGTCCGATCTCAAGAACGGCACCAATCTCACCACTCTGACGTCTCAGAGCCTTCGTACCATCCGGTCCGGCAACAACCTCTTCTTGAACTCGGCGCAAATCATCCAGCCCGATATCCTCATCGCAAACGGCATCATGCACATCATAGACAACGTCTTGAACCCTGACGTGCCGTCGAACCCGAGCCCGGATGCCGCCAGCCAACCTCCCGTCTTCCCCGAGAGCTCTGCTTCCGGCTTGCCTTTCACGACCGCACTTCCCTGCACTGTCAGCTGTCCAGTGACCACGTCAAGCGCCACTCTCACAGGCACCGCTGCCAGGACTGCTTCGACCACGGGCGTCAGGACCACCACTAGCCCTGGTCTTGCTGCTCCCCGTTGCACTGGTCTTAATGCTGGTGTGGCCGTTGGTGTTCTGGCAGGCATCGCCGCACTTGTTTAGGATTGAATGGACAGAATGAGAGAGCGAGAGATGTAATCATCATACTGCGATGGGAAAATTGGGTGGTTTCAGGCGATAATGAAGGCGTTGGGAGTAAATAGAATGAGACGATACCACTATACGAGATAGAATAGTTAATTCATGAAATTACACACTCAGTATACCTGTTATGCTTCTGCTCCTTGGGTAATTCCTTGCGTTCAATGTTATCGTAACATCATTTCCGATGAAAAATTCCACAATTTATTTGATGTTGTCGTTTCGTTACCTTTCCTGTTCTCTTTCCTGACGCTATCATTGCCGCTGCCGCTCTCGTCGAGATCATATCCAACATCTCCTAAAACCAAGCATTCCGCGCCAATTCGTCGTCTCATCAGTATTCATAACTAGCCAAGCCAGGATGTCAACCAAAACGTATGCCAAGTGTTCAATGGCAGGATCAAATAGCGTAGAGAGCCATTCCAGTAAATGCTGTCTTGAAGCCAATCTGACTTCTCAGAAATACCTAGCCCTCTGATCTATCCTAAGAGAACATAATTACCGACCAGTTCTGAACCCTTTGGAAAGCAAGTGTCGGACTAAGTCTGTAGGCATAGGCTGCCGATTTTCTTTCAGCATGGATAACTTTACTTGAATGCCAAACAACGAGTATTAATTAATCATCGTCTCAACCTTAACATGCTGAACTGATGTCTACATACCGTTTACACACTCGTAGCTCTTAACATCTATACTTATTCACACAAAAGGTTCTATCTAACACCAGATAATTACCGGCTTGCCTCCTACGATGTGATAATTCATGGCTAATGACATAATTACGCTCCTAGAAAGGACGTATCAAATGAATATCGCAAGAGCCTCAAACAACCTCCTCAGCAATGGGACCAATTATTCACAAAGCACGACACCGCAACAGCAGCACCGCCAAGGCATCAAGAAATTTCTACCTCACTCGGGAGACGGAACCCTCGACCCCCGTCCTCACAGACCGGGCGAGCATCGCTTAACCTCCCGCGCCTCAGACCTGCATACAGACCCCTCCATGCCCTGCCAGCACAACCCAACCTCTCACGGCGACCAACATCACCCGATACCACAATGCGATAAGAGGGCGAAAAGCCTGATTCACAAGTCGTGGCAAGCCGTGGCAAATGCATGCTTACCTTATCCATGCTGCTTCGCTCAATGCAATGCAGCCAAACCCTGCCTGCTTACAGCATGAGACTTTGCCGAGAGCCCGCATCACAGTTAATGAAAACGGAATGCCTTGGCAGGCATGCAGAACCGTCAGCACGAAGATATCAACGCATCCTGGCCCTCGTCTACGGCAAAGACAAAGATAACGTGTAACGGCGCGCCGCCTCGTCTCGTTCACCTATCTTTCATTTTTCTCAACGCTCGTATCAAAGCAGGGCTCGCCTCAACTGAAACACACAGCGAATGCTGCAAGAAGGTCTCGATTGGACGACGTTCCACCACGCCCCCGAGTCCCGACCAACAGCAGCTTGACGTGCTGGACATGGGAGAAAGAGGCGTTTGGAGGGTTGGGGAATCTTTGTTTAAAAATAAACGGCGGGGGAAAATGCAGCGGTGACTGGCTGGGAGAAGCGGCTCTAGGGCCGAATACGATGGATGGAGGGGTCAGTCGGGAGCGGGGTTGGGGTTGGTTCTCGACGACCGACTGGATGGCACTGGAGGCGCTATGATGTACGACGTGAGATGTGGTTGTAGGCGAGTTTGCGGTTGGTGATGACAGGCGAGACAGACGATGCAACGTTGAAGAGGAAGCTTGAATTGGCAATGTGGTATCGGTAAGACGGCACTTGGTAACAAGCGGAGGAGTAGTCCCGGCCGTCTGTCTCGACGCACCTTGACGGCTCGGTAATGGAAGACATCATTTGACTTGATCACATGATCATGATCTTCATGCTGCCCTACACGGGAAGTTTTCTTGCAGTACAACAGGCACGCAATTCCTGTGCTGTAACTGAGCCCTGCGTGTAAACCGAGTTGATGGGTCGGTCTAGTAAGCATCAAGAGGACAAGGTGCGAAAGCCAAGAATGAGCAATGCACTTTGGCCTCAACGACTTGGACCGTCAATGGTCAGAGGCAAACTGGCTCGCGATCTAAACGGGTAAATCGGAGCATTGTTGATGCCACAACGTGTTCGTTCGTGCTCGCCACGATGCAGCTCGTCAGCCACCGCTCGAGAACATGTCTGCCCTCGCAGAGCTAATGCGTGCTGCATGCATTGTTGGCAACCTTCCAGCCAGTGGCAGAGCCTTTGGCGGAAGTTGAGAAGGGCTCCCGTCATCCCAACCAATGCTGTCTGCCAACTGCGGCTGCACCTACACTTGCAGCTGCATTGCTTCCATGGCTGAATGCGCCATACATGCCATCAACGTGCCAACTCCCACGGAAGCTACTGCCGCAACTCAGGCGGTGACCTCAACCGTTCTGGGAACCCTTGGGCGATGTCGAAACAGACAAAGATGGAGGACTCTCGCCGAAATATCCAGCTGAGTGGGGGTACCTGTCAAAGACGGGGACAAAGAAAGGGCTCCCACCGCTTCGCCGGGACGCTCCCGGAGGCGTCGATCTTAGGACCAGCTATCTGATTCGAGTGCGTGGCCTGGCGTCGGTGCAGATCCGGACGTCGCTTCGCGTCGAAGCCCAACTGAACAACTTCACGGATGGTACTACGGCAAAGCCGGGAAGGGCGCTTCCAACGCCGATCACGTACTCGGGCTGTTGTTCGCCACGTCGCTTGGGAGGATATTCGGGACGAAGAAGCCTTGATGCTGATCTTCTGGTTAAGCTTCGACCGGGTCGCCCGAGCTGCTGGGGCAAAGCGCGGCTTAGATGGACGAATGTTACAAGCAGTTGGGTAGCAGTCACATCGGCTGTCGATGATCTCGAGTCTTGTTCAACCAGTGCTTGACCGATTTCTCACATCCTCGTATTGAACAAGATGCAGATAGCTTATCACTGCCGCAAGAGCCTCGATACCAAGAGGTGGACCGGTTCGTAGTCATTGGTGAGCAGCGGCAGAGATGGGCTCACTCGCCTGAAGGTAGCGGTGATGCTGGATTTGCCTTGGTCTGGTCTGAGTTGGTTTACTTTGCTTTGACCTCAGCTCTGTGCGGCAGCTGGCGTTGTTGCCTCTGTCTCGTATCGCGTCTGACTGCAGAGGCAGAATCTTTTTCTGGATGCCGTATGCCAAGCTAACTTGAGGTAACAGACGCGCGGTGGGCCTTGTTTCCTGGCCGGATCTGGATCAAGCTGAGCATTGACGCTATCACCACGTCTTGACGTGATTGTGGAAATTGCAGCAGGAGTCGGCCAAGACGGGTTTTGACAGACCGGCGCCGTACTAGAGGACGCTATTGATGATTTAGTCCTAAAGAGGTAGCATCTCTTATCGTGTGTGCCAGCGGGCCAGGGACCAGGGAAGGGCAAGGTATGTCGTACAGGGGGTCTTATGCAGGTACAAGGGCATCGTTGAGCTAAGGTGGCCGATGCATGGACGCCACAGAGCTAGCAGTCCGGGCACATCTCTTGCTGCTTTTCAGCGGTGTTGTGAGCCAATGAGCGGTTGTCTGTCTGTACACTGGGCCCCAGAGTGTTGTCTTCGTCATGATCTAGGCTCCTGGGCACCGGGGCGGGCGAGCAGAGGGAGCTGGAGACTGGAGACTGAAGTCGGATCCCGCCAGTGAAGCGAAGACGGGAAGCGGGACGGGCAGGGTTTGCAGGCCCGACTGAGGGAGAAGAGTGATGCTCCATACACTATCTCCAGGGCTGAGAGCTCCGGCTGCTGCAGAGTGCCAATAGTGAGGTTTGGATAGATGTGTTGTCGTGAAGTCGGCCATCATACCCACAGGCATGTCCACAGGCCAGCCAGCCAGCCGCACGGGGAGGGCCGAAACAGAGAACAAGAGTCGTGATAGCTCTTTGATGCGTTATCGTGAAAACCAGTTGGGTGGTAATATTGGACAAACGACGCGGCCAGAACGCACCAGACTCGGCTGATTCGGGGGTGATGGGGGTGGGCGAAAGATAGAGAGGCCGAACATGACTCTTGGGTGCCGAGTGGCAGTCAGTCGCCTCAAGCAGTAAGGTAACTGACGATGTGGAATATTGGTGAAAGAAAGAGCTTGCGAGTCTGGCTGAGCTAGGAATCGCCGGACCCAAACTCAAGCACTCCCCCGTGTGGTTGAGTGATAAGGGGGGAGGGGTTCATCGTCTCATGTCGTCTGCGAGGGACGAGAAAGAAGGGACGACAAGACTCAGCAGGGGAGAAAGGCAGGCCCGGGGCAGGACGGGATACAGTAAGGCACCTCACGCAGTGACCGCTGGAAGAACCCCTCTTTACAGCTGACAGCCCCTGTAATCCAGCGCCACCAGCTGATGCCAGTAGCGCTAAAAGGGCAGCGTCTGGTGGGAGATTGCCCCCATCAGCATCAAGGGGCCACTTGCCATGCGCTGAAAAGGGGACACTCGCTGAAGTGCAGTGAGAGGTGTCCATGTTCATGGCGGGACGGAGCTGTTTGCGGACAGCCCAGACCAAGCCGGCGCCGCCGTCACAGCCATCGCCCACTGAAGACAAGTGCAGTGCGCCTGCGGTACCTCGGGGCAGGCGCCTGTGGAGGTACAAGGTTGAGGTACCTACCCGTCCCGCCGTCCCGCACTTGGCCTTACTGATCTTAGCTCCTTCTGTAGCTGTCTGTCGCTGCTTGTGCTTAGGTTCTTCCCAGGCGTGAGGTGCCTTTCACAGGTAAGGTAGAGCTGCGTCCAATCCTTCCTCTTCCAGGTCAGGTTCATTTGGCCGAAGCCACCACCTCCAGCTCCCATTTACCTACTCGGCCTCGCCTTCCTTTCGCGCCTCCTCCGAACCTCTTTTCTTTCTCTCCTCCTTTCACCTCGTCTGTTGCGAGTAATATCTATCCCTTCTCCTCTCCAGTCCTCGCCAGGTACTTGAGGGAATAATCACCAACAT